TGTTTAACGTCCATCTCGAGAATTTTTCACTCATATGGAAACAACACCATTGCAGGTGGAGAGCTGCAAATTTTGTCCTATACTCGGCAATCAGGGATGTTGAGCAATGCCAGCACCTACTGCGACACCGGACCTCGGTTTTACATTTCATCCGAAGGACCGGTCTCCACGTCCAACTGTGAGATTCGGACTCGCGACGTAAGGATCAACTCCTTACTTCGCGACTCTATAGCAGATGATATGCACAAGTGTATAACAAAGATTTCTTAGAGATACTGACTGTAACTGTAATGAAAAACTATACCATGTTAACTTGATAAGTTTATCTCCATACCTTTTGAATAATCTTTCAAGTGTCGAAAGCAATCAAAATCCGTAGCAACGGATTCGAGTTAGGAGGGGGGGGGGGCTTTCCAAATGAATTTGACAAGCAATAGGGGGGGGGGGCAACTTTTGAGAATAATCTGACAAGCAAAATAAAAACAGTACTCGACCTTAGAGCTATAGAGCTACAAAAAGTGTTTAGGGCGGGGGTTTGGGTTAGCATGTTACGGAAAATTTATTGTTGTTATATTCGTAAAAAGATGGGGGGGGGGGTGTTTACAATCAAAACATTTATTCATTTATGAAATCGCAAGCACACACCGAAAGAGGCAAAACAAGCTAATTCAGAGAATTTGTGTCCCCCGCTTAGGGAAAAAGTAAACCATGCGCAGTTCCTGGAGGGGGGGGGGTGTCGGATCCCCCTGACTTAAGTTGTAAATAATTAAATTTGTAGAATTATTAAATGTATACATGTATACTGAATCAAGTATATATAAAAAATATGCATATAAAGATTTGATTGCTTATTCTTTATTATGTGTATACATAGAAGATTCTTTTTATATGGAATATTTATCACACTGTAATAATGATTTTATAACCTCATAAATTTTTCATTTCACATGCTGAATGCTATCATTTAGTTAAAAAAAAGTATTTAAAAAAAAAGAGAAAGAATCGACCGAGATTCGATCCCGGGACCTCACACCTCTGAAGCGAGAGACATGACCACTGGACCACGGAATCGCTTTATCTGTTGTGAAGTATATGGAGAACTGAAGTCACATACATGCATATATTCATGTTTTCATGTTCGGTATTCTCAAAATTTTACACAATCCATGGTGTTTGATTTATTAAGCCTTTATTAAACAGTTCTATTGTTTCATACGCAATAACTCTCCTCATGCACCTGCGCTAAAAATAGCGACATGTAATACTATAAATACTAATAAAACAAGCTAATTCAGAGAATTCGTGTCCCCCGCTTAGGGAAAAAGTCGGCTCCCCCTGACTGAATTTGTAGAATTATTAAATGTATACATGTATACTGAAGGAAATAAAATACATGTATGTCAATATGCATATAAAGATTTGATTGCTTATTCTTTATTATGTGTATAGAAGATTTTTTCATATGGAATATTTATCACACTGTAATGATGATTTTATAACCTCATAAATTTTTCATTTCACATGCTGAATACTGGCATTTAGTAAAAAAAAAAAAAAGTATTTAAAAAAAAAAAAAAAAAAAAAAAAAAGAACGGTCCGACCGAGATTCGATCCCGGGACCTCTCACATTTGAAGCCGGAGACATAACCACTACACCACGGAGTCGCTTTACATGGTGCGAAGTATATGCAGAACTGAAGTCACATACATGTATATATTCATGTTTTCATGTTCGGTATTCTCAAAATTTTACACAATCCATGGTGTTTGATTTATTTAGCCTTTATTAAACAGTTCTAATAGATGTAATAAGAACATAAAGTCCGCCGAGAACCTGTTTTATACGCAATAACTCTCCTGATGCCCCTGCGCTAAAAATAGCGACATGTAATACTATAAATACTAATAAAACAAACGGGCGGGGCACTTTGAGAGGGGCGAGAGACGTCCTAGGGAGTTTTGGTATAAAATTACATTGCATCAGCTCAAAATCTTCTTGAAATATCGCCCGGAAATGATAGTGTTACACACAGACAGAATGTATAAATTTACGACCTTGAACTTTGACCTTTTGACCTCAAAATCAATAGGGGTCTTCTTTAGGCCACAGGGAGTTGTTATGTAAAATTTCATTGCAATAGCTCAAATGGTTCTAGAGATATCGTGTGGAAACGAAAGTGTTTTAACAGACAGAATTTGCTTATTTATGACCTTGACCTTTGACCTTTTGACCTCAAAATCAATAGGGGTCTTCTTTAGTCCATAGGGAGTTGCTGTGCTAAATTTCATTGCAAAAGCTCAAAGGGTTCTCGAGATATCGTGTGGAAACGAAAGCGTTACAGACAGACAGAAAGACGGACGGACGGACGGACGGACAGACGGACGGACGGACGGACGGACGGACAAACCCAAATTAATATCCCCCACTTTTCAAGCGGGGGACAACAAACGGGGCGGGGCTTTTTGAGAGGGGCGAGAGATGTCCTAGAGAGTTTTGGTATAAAATTACATTGCATAAGCTCAAAATCTTCTTGAAATATCGCCCGGAAATGATAGTATTACACACAGACAGAATGTGTAAATTTACGACCTTGAACTTTGATCTTTTGACCTCAAAATCAATAGGGGTCTTCATTAGGCCACAGGGAGTTGTTATATAAAATTTCATTGCAATAGCTCAAATGGTTCTAGAGATATCGTGTGGAAACGAAAGTGTTTTAACAGACAGAATTTGCTTATTTATGACCTTGACCTTTGACCTTTTGACCTCAAAATCAATAGGGGTCTTCTTTAGTCCATAGGGAGTTGCTATGCTAAATTTCGTTGCAAAAGCTCAAAGGGTTCTCGAGATATCGTGTGGAAACGAAAGCGTTACAGACAGACAGAAAGACGGACGGACGGACGGACAGACGGACGGACGGACGGACGGACAAACCCAAATTAATATCCCCCACTTTTCAAGCGGGGGACAAAAAACAAGTCTAATAGTTAAAGCTCTAGATATGGACCGGTATATATTTATAATTTTGGAGGAATTGAAATACATGCATGTCGTTGTGAGAAGAAACAACTGATAACATTGAAGAAGTAATTTAAAGTTGTGTGGGGGCGTGGATATTTAAACTGGGCTAAAAACTATGTTAAGATGAAATGATTTTCTATTCAAATAATTCAGCCAATTTATGACAAGATAAAAGTATTTAACGGTTTTAAAAACGGACTAACACCCGTAATATTTTTTAACATTGTATGCTTTATTATAGATGGGTGAACTTTTAGCCTCGGGTCTTTATGTATAATTATCTGTATTGTTCTCGATCCCTTTAAACAACTTTCGCAATATTTAATTGCTATTTAATTCATAAACATTAATCTGGAATTCTTTTCACAACCTATAATATACATTTCATTGGCTGCTACCGTATATGCATTTTATTTTTTTTTATTTTTGGAAAAAAGCTCACACAAGTCAAAATTAAATTTGGAAAATATTAATTTTTTTTTAAATTAAAATGCGGTTCATTTATCTGAGTCAACTCATGTAACAATATTTTGACCAAAGTCGATACTTACATTGCTCTCTGGGGACAGTTCCTGCTGTTTTTCCATTCTTATTCAGACGATGACATTAATATTTCCAAAAATCAAAATAAGTATTCCACAACACAGTCCAAAACGTATGTCAACCACGGTGTTTAAAGGGTCGTGACATGCCAGCCTTACGAAGGTGTAACGGAATTGGAGCAATATTACCAGGTTTGATTTGAAGTAAAACTAAGAGCGCCGGTCAATAAAGCGGGTAATCAAAGATTAGCTTCCATGTCAATATCGTGGACCGCTACAACACACGGTACCATTAAAATGCATATCTAACCATGACGAACCCGGGACGAAGAACATTTGGGGTGGTTGATTGGTCCACAGGGAAGATTTAGCAGTTTCTCCTGAATATTTTATTATGTCCCGATTTCCGAGCTGTTCTTCGTTTAAAACACTTACAGCAGTTAATTCGGGGAGGTTGGGTTTTGTTTACTTTACGGTTTTCGCTGAAGGAAGGGGTTCCAATTTACCACACGGGATTACTGGTCGAACATATTAAAGGTCGGGATTATTTCCAGGTTAATGTTATTTACACTTTTGAAAAGAAAGTCTTGTCCGTAATTAACTTGTATTTACGTTTGAAATAATTTGAAAAGCTTTTCATATAGGTTTAGCAAGTGAATTTATTGATATACATAGGAGGAAACCATTACGAGTAAGAGAAATATGTTAATATTTAACATGTTTAAGAAGAAAATTATTTTCTTGAAATAATCAAATACCTATTGTTCTCTACAAAAATTTGAATTTTTTAAATTAAAATTTGTATATGACAAATTTTAATTAAAAAAATTCAAATTTTTGTAGAGGACACTATAAAGCAATTTTGCTTTATGTCTGATGCAATGATCCATTACCCACCCACCCCTCCAAATGATACATCACAATAAATGTGACCGACCCAGAGTTCTAAAATGTTTGGGGTAAGATTTAGAGATTATTTAGTTAACTTCCAACCCCCGAGCCCCACCCTAAAAAGGGGGGTATTCTCTATCTATCACAGAATGTAAACGCATCATCTTACAAAAAAATAAAGAATAAATTAAAACTAATTCAGAATACTTTGAGGGAAAAAAAACATATAGATGCATATTTTCCCCAGAATTTTAACAGATATTTCAGCAGCGTTATCAATTTTTACCTCCTTCCGCACTGTGTTATCTCTCTTAGAGGAGTTATCTCTCTTAGTTAACTTTATTCCACCTTAAAATGCCATTGCTCTATTCGATTAGTTTTGCATGGCGTTGGATTTTTTTGTGTGTGAAATAATTGGTAATTGGTAATAGAAGCATCCCGAACAATACTGGGGTTTATAAAATAAAACAATAGTAACTCTTTATGATTAAGCAACTGACATTCATCATCCCGGACTATAAAGTTGATGTACATGAATGTTATAGATTTTATTTCAATGAAAGCACAACGAACATGAAGAAAAACAAAGGTACATGAATTAAACAAATGCTAACGGAACATTCGTTGTCTTCAACAATCGATGACGTACTTTAAATAAAACGAAGCAAAATGTCAGATCACTTCACAACATTGAAAATGACATATCAACCCACAATATGGCATTAATTTGTGGGGAAAACAATTGGCACAAAAAATGAAAGTTCTGCATCCGATGACTGCTTTCTTCCTTCTTCTACAACACGATTAGCTGCAGAACTGTAGCTTTATGGTTTTTACCAGGGTACATTATATTTGTCTTTGACCATAGAGTAACATATTAAAAACCATAACGCTGCAGTTCTGCAGCTACAATACGATACATTGTCGTATCGTAACAACTTGCAGACAAGGGTATACATTTTTGTAAAACCTTTTTGACATCAATATGATTCAAAAATACCAATACTTATATGCATGCACAAACAGACTACCAAAATGGTTCAATGACTAGAGTCCAGTGTTTAAGTACATCATTTAAAAATAAACGGACAATCCCGCTGAGTATGCAATAAATTAAAAACCTTTTTTGACAAAAGGCACTCACAGTTACGCTTCTTTTGATTTTTAACAATAATAAGTTTGTAAAAAATAAATTAATCAAACTTGATGAGGTTTCTGTGGTATAAATTTCAATGCTATGAAATATAGCACCAAATAAACAGCAATGGAGGCTAAAATCACGAGACACGAGTCGGAGACAGTACTGCCGTCTAGCGAGTAGAGATGCAGTGCTTGATTTCCGGTACTGATGCACTGACGAGTGTCATTCAGGTTGCATGTAAAGTTCAGTCTAGATATCTCTGTCTGACACAATCCTTGGAAACCCCACTTTAGGTAGGATACTTTTGACACCCACTGTAGACCTGTGAAAATGAAAAACGAGACTATCACATTCATAGACAGAAATACTGTTAACTTTTAGGTTTTGTGTACGTGTATATTAGCAAGATACATGTAGTTCAAACAATGAAATTGACTTTAATAATATTAACGTGTCTTTCTCCAAGTTATTTTTGAGGGCTTGGGGGAAGATTCTTGTTTTGGATATTTCAATTTTGCTACACTAATACATTGTCATTTAGTTAAAGTTTTGTAATTCCTCGAAGATTTATCTCCGTTTTAATTAAAAGGGTCAAAATTTTCTTGTTAGCGATCTTAATCACGAGTTTCTTCGGAATGCAAGGTGGTGCAAAATACAATAATACGCAAGTAAATATTACCAAATCTTGTATGTAGATGAATTTGCAGTTCTCACCTTCAAATATATTTTCAAGATTAATGAAAAATCCAGCAGACATGAGGTACATTGAAAAGAAAGTCTGCGCAATGAAACAAGACATCGTGAATGTTGGCGTTAGACTAGAGGACAACATGGCCAGAGATCGGCTGCAATATACCATCAAGTAATTCAAAGCGAACACTCGGAAAAACACCCACACGTCCAACGAAAACCCTACCAAGAAGTACACTGGAATCGTATACGTCACAACAAAGAACGTGTGTAAAGGAAATTCACTCAAAACCTGCAAAATTAATTTCATATATTCACACAACTTTCAAC